AGAAAAGCCAGCTATTATATAAAAATCAGGGTTAAAAAATGGTGAATTAATACAACCCCAGAGAACCTAGGTAACAAAGAAGATCCTAAGAGAGACATACATGGATCCACCTAGGAAGGGAAAAAGACAAGATCTCGTGAGTAAATTGGGAACATGGGGACCAGGGGGTAGGGTGGAAGGGGAGAGGAGGGAAAAGGGAGTGGAGAAAATATATAGCTCAATATAAAAAAAAATGACACAAAGAAAAGAAACGGCAGATTAAAATGTTTGCATACCTTCCTGGGGAGAATCTGGACATGTAGCCACACCTACTGCAATGGAGGCTGGGAAATATACTCTTAGCTATGTTTTTAGATATTCCTTCTGTTAGGCCATCCAACAAAATTTCCTGCAATGGTAGGAATGTTCTATATCTGTGTATTTAATACAATAGCTGCTAGCCATATGTTGCTATAGAACACTTGAAATGTGACTACTAAAAGTAGGATCAAAATTGTGTTTACTTATACTCAAATAGCCATATGTGGCTAGTGGCTGTGGTTTTGGATAATGTAGTTATAAAGCCAAGGGAAGAGGAATCTGGGCAAATGGGCAGTAATCTCTGCCGGAGCCACTTGCTAGGTATTGATGATGAACCAACTGGTATGTTTTCTCACTTCCCTCAACTGATAAAAAAAAAAAAATGGTGTAGGAAGAGAATCCATCTCTCTAGACTGTGGGAGGATGGTGATCATTCAGTCAAAGCACCATAGTGAGTGCCCAGCCAATGTTGTTCTACCTATGGCCTGAAGGCAGGGATAGTACGTGGCAATCCGTGAGTGTGAGCCTCCCTTCCCTCTACCTCTTTCCATTTGCTTCAGGTGAGCTATACCACTTATTTTCTCTCCAAAATGTTCATCTCTTGAGTTGTGTTCTTCAAACCTAGTTCAAATATCCCATTTATACCCAGTCCTCCAGATGTGGTCTCTCCAGATGTGTGACAGTCCTGGTGCTCTGTGTACTCTCCAGGACCTGCCACATCGTACTGAGGGAGCTCATCTTGTCTCGTGCATTTGTCTAGACAGGTGTGCTTCCTCCCCCCGCCCATATCTCTATCTTCCGCGCTGTACAGCAGAATTCTTTGTGTATTTTGGGACGTTTGGCAACACTTGCCTATTGACAGGGTTGAATTCATTGGGTGCAGAGAGGGTTACAAGGATAGTCCCTGGACAACTAGAGCTAGACTTCAGCTACATGGCACCAAACAAAGCTAGATTTGGCAACTTCTCGGGTCACTAAGTCTATGTAGACATCCCAGTATGGCCACCTCACTAGTAAGGCGTTTACAGAGTTCTTTTGGACATCTGTACAATTTTTCTTCTCCCACATTTCTCTATAAAAATAGCCTTTCTGGTTCGCATGCCTTTTCCCACTGTCTGTCTACTCCTGGCAAAGTTCCTGACCAAAAACTGTCAAGGAGAACTGGAACCACTCAATTTGGCAGCCTGGACATGGGTCAAATGAGCTGTATAAGTGCTCCATGAGAACAAAGCCACACAGGACACATTCCATGGTCTCTGTGGCTCAGGGTAACCCCAAATGTCACTCCAGACTATCTTGTGTCATTTTGACAACAACCTAAAAAAAACCCAAAAACCTGGAGAATATGCTTCAAATTACCGTGAATTCTCACGAGTTCACTGATTTAAAAAAAATATTAATAAGCTTGTTTAGAGCTTTTCAATTATTCATTCAACACATAGTTGTTGAGGTCCTGCTCTGTGTCAGATATTATTCTGGTGTTTAAAATGTGAAACAGACAAAATTCTTGCATCCAAGGAGCTTTTGTTCTGGTTGGGTAGGAAGAAAATAAATATGTCATGTGCCAATAAGTTCCACGAAGGCAAAGAAGGCAGGATGTCTCTTGTGACATTAAAAAAAAAAAAAATCACCCCAATCACTTAGTGTCCTAAAATAACACCTTATTATTTCTCGTGAGTCCAGGGCGTGGCTACACTTCCTGGGCTCATTCAGGAGGTTGTAGTCACTGGAGGCTCAGCAAGGGCTAAAGGGTCTGCTAGGAGTAAGGCTAAGCCTCACTCACTAACCGGCAGCCTCAGTGCTTGCTGTCAGTTCATCCTCTCCATATAGCTCACCACTCACGAGTCCAGTTTGGACTTCCTTACAATATGGAGTGAGGATTCCGAGGCTGTGAAAGCTGAGACTGCAAGGCTCTTATGACCAGGTCATGCCGTATTACTTCTGTCTTGTACTGGTCACTGCCATTGAGAAGACCCGGCACATCTTCAGAGTGACACATCTTTGCTACTTATGAAAAATGTAATTCTGAAGGAATTGAGCCAAGTTAAAAGGGGGCACTTGATTTTGAGGCAGTGAGATGTGAATGTGGACCAGCTATGTGATGCTGCATTTTGAGGAGAACCTGAGAGGTGTTTTGAGGTGTGTTGTTGTGTAGTACAAAGGTGTAGGGCGGTACAGACTGTATTTGAAATCCACTAGCCAGAGAAGGCGTCTCTGAAGAGGGGCAACCAGGGAAGGACCTGGGTGAAGTAAGTAAATAGGCCATACAACTATCTGGGCACAGGATACTCTAGATAGAGGGAATTGTTAGCAACCAAAGGGTCTTAGGTTAGACCACTGCAATTCTTTTTGTTAGAGACAATGCCATCATCTCTAAGATTAATATTAATATCCCATATGACAAATTTTGAATGAAGACATGTCTTTTTTGTTTATGGAAAATATAATTCTTTGTGAGCAAGAGTGAAGGATTCCTAAAGGAACTGAACCAAGATAAAAGGGCGCCCTTGATTTTGAAACGCCGAGATGTAACAACAAACCATTCATGGAGTTGAGGACCACAAAAGGGTCTATCTCTTTCCCCTGCTACCTGCACCCTCCGCACTCCTCACCTGATGCACTGGGTGACTTGTGCAGTCCTTGGAAGAACTCTAAAAACCCCACAGTTAGAAAAGTCCCCTTGCATCCAGTCTCTGTACTGCTGCTTTCAGTCATCCTGCACACGGCTTGCCCCCAGCCTTGCTCTCACAGAATGTGGGAGCATCTCTGTGAGCAAATTAGACTGTGAGACATGGGAGACCAACAGGTCTGGCTTACTAAAGGATGGAGCAGAGCATAGCAGAGGGATTTTCTGGTCTAATTACCCATGATCGATTGATAGGGCAGTCTTCAGGTAATGCATAATTAGCCTGTGTGTAGAGGGGACAGTTATCTAGCTCACTGGCTACCAGATGCTTGTCACTGCTCCTCTGGCCTCCTAGGCTGGGCTCCTGACTCTACCTGTGGCCTATTAAGTGTAAATACCCTCCCATGCAGAATAGCCTGTCATTATCCCTGTGTTAACATGGTATTTATCCCCAAAATTCTGCCAAGCTACTTTGCAATTAAAAGACCTCCACATAGTCCCTTGCTGTGGCCTTGGTCAACCATTAAAGTTGTCAGGGCAGGGATGGCTTTAAAGAGCTGAAAAGGTAGACTAGGGTCCTCTCTGAAAGGGTCAAGAGATATCCCAGGAACTGACATCCTCACATACTTCCAAAGCCTGGGACTGCACACCTTGGAATCAGGATTTTAGAGGCATCCAGAACCCTGACCCCGAATCAGGCACATCATACGCAGACTAATTCATTGGCTACTACTGAGTTCCAAGACTGAAGTTGAGTTTTTGAGAGTCGTTGTCTATTCTGAAGTCTGTGGCAGCCCTGATAGACAAGGGAATCCTATCATACAATGAGGCAACACTTTCAGAAGGTCCTCCAAGGCTTTCCTCAGAAAGCAACAAAGGGAATTGTAAAAAAAAAAAGGGGGGGTAGCCACACAAGCTGGCAAAGAGATAGAAGCTATCTTCACGGTTCCCCTCAAAGCTCAAGCACCTGCTCTTTCTGCAGCTGTCACCTGCCTTTGGGTTTATCTCCTTGTCATGTGTATTTCTGAGTCATTTCTCAGCCTGCCCCATTTCTCCTCCCTTTACCCTTCTTTCATAGCTGCCCAAGGGCACAAACCAAAAAGTCCCTTGAAGGAGTGTGTGTGTGGCGGGCGGGGGTGTGTGTGTGATTGCTTATGGCTCAGTCAGTATTTGACTTCTAGTGCCTAAAAGGATGCTATTACAAGTGTCTTTATACAAATATCTTCATACACAGGAATGGACTTTTCTGTAGGATAATGGACGTAAGAGAGCCTGATTATGTGAATTTTAATTAAAAAAGATATCAAATTGTTAAAAGTTGTACACATTCAGTTTATTCAAGAGCTTGCTTTCCTTCATCCTTGCCACCTTGGCTTGCTGCCCCTTTAAAAAAACTTTCTTTCCTTGTTTTCTGATTATGCATGTGATAGGTGTTCCTTGGGTAAAAGAAAAATGGAAAATGCTGCAAAATGAAGAGAAAGTAAAGATTAACTCCCATGCCACTTCCCAAAGGTGAAAACCAGCCAGATGTGATGACACACAACCGTAGCTCCAACACTTCAGAATCTAAGGCTGAAGCATCAAACGTTCAAGGCATCTGAAATGCACAGGGAGATTCCATCTCCAAACAGCAGAGGCTGTAGCTAAGGTGGCTGTAATCCGAAGAGCTTTCTAGAATCACCAGAGCTAGTAACATGTTAAAGATCACTTCCTTCTCTCTTTTCTCCCATCCCTAATGGAGAGCATTAGGGATGAATTCAAAGACCTAAAATAAGACTTTCCTGAGCTTTATAGAGATTAATCTGGGGTAGGCAGTTCCAGATATGCACACCCCTAAAACGTGTCCCCACTCAAAACAGTTCTGCTGCCAGGAAGGCTCCAAGCCTGAGGATTTGTGGAGTAGGAATGGAGTACAAACATTCAGAAAATGTGTTTTCAGACCTTGGCAGCTGGATCCAACAGATTGGAAAACCCATCTCCTGGGCCAACCCTCTAGCCAAGTTTCCATGTCTCAGGGACCCTGACATGCCCTGTTAAGCCTCTGAGCTAATGACTACTCCACTTTCCATTCCAGAGACCTGAACTATAATGAGCTACAGGAGTTCCCCGTGGCCATCCGGACCCTGGGCAGGCTGCAGGAACTGTAAGATCTTCTGTTGGTGTGTTTGGGGGTGCTTCTCCAAGGGGCAGAGGCCAGCTAACTCACCAACTCACCTCCCAAAGTCCTTGTGACTGGTCCTTATGGAAGCTGTGACTGGAAACGCTCCATAGCCCCTGAGCAGCCCTCAGTAGTAACAGCTCTTGGTAGTTTGGCTTTGAACATTTGTTGGGGGTGCGTCATCAGCATAAATGGTTCTGGGTCCTTCAAGCCTACATGGAAGAAACCACCTCTTGAAGCTTTAGACCTGGCATTGTCCTGTCTTGTCTGAAGAAGAATTAGAAGAGGAACCAGGGGCTGGTTTATAGGGTCACTCTTTACTACCATCCTTAGAAGGATCGAGAAATAGACTCGGGAGCCCCGTGGCCATTCATTGCTATTATAATTTTAGTTGTGTATGAACATGCATGCATGTGTATGCATGATGTATGTATGCATGAGGGTGCACATGCCATCACACATATGTGGAGGTCAGAGGACAACTTTATGAAGCCAGTCTCTCCTATATTTATGTAGGTTCCAGGTATTGAACTCAGGTTGCCTGGCTTGCATGGCAAGCACTTTTTATCTGCTGAGTCATCTTGTTTTCCCAACCATTTATTATTCTACCTGAACACTCACTAGACTGGGTACTGCATTTGGTGTTAATATAAACCAAGTGTAAGATAGAAACAGGATACTCTAAAAAGGATCCTTCAACCCCATCCATGACGCAAAGGAGCAGTCATGAAACAGGAACATGACAAAGCAACATCTAAGTCCAGTCTTAAATTGTGGTATAGTATGTTGGCTAAAATAGCTATGAAAATTCAGAACAGCAGACATCTCACTATGGACTGAGGTCGCTTGAGACTGGTCTCAAAGGATGAGGGGGATTCAGGTGGCAATGTTGATGGAAGATGACAGGTATTTTAGTCAGTGGAACAGTACAAGCACAGGCCTGACAGGAAGTAGTTAAGGTGTAGGATGATCACCTTGATGGGGTATGCTCAGTGACCTCAGAAGTCTAACATATAGCTAGACTAGAATCCAATTAAGGGGACATGAAGGTTCATGATTTTTTTTCTGGAGAAAAAAAATGTACACACTTAGCTTTTAGTCCATCCATCTACCATCCATCCATCCATCCATCCATCCATCCACCCATGCATGATCTACTGAGAGAAAGCTGCTTGCACACAGGGCCTCTGTTATCTAAATATCTCAACTTCTCAGAGCTTGACCTAGCCCAATACACAAAAGGAATGAAGGAAGTAACAAGCCTTGGTGGGTAGTGTTATTCTGTTGCTTAAATTAGAAATAAAGGCACAAGATGAGAGATGAGAACAAGAGATACATTAACTATAGTTTCATATAGCGAGAGGAAGAGAAATGGAAGAACTGAGCAAGGCAGAGAGTAAGAAAGAGGAGAGAGAGGTCGACCACTGGAAAGAGAGTGTAAGTGGTCGTCTGTCTTTTAAAGAGGTCCTCTACACCTGTGTGCAGACTCAGTTCCCATGGAACCCTGGGCTGACCAGGGTACTGCCTGCGTGGATTCTGCCAGGTAACAGGAGGCTGGCCAGCATAATGCCTGAACCTTTCATTCCCACCTTTACTTATTATTTAAAAGGTGGGGTGTTAGACATGGCAGATTAAGGAATAAGGGCGTAGAATTCTCAAGACTTCTTCCTGCTGACCATCTTTGGGGGACCTGAGAAAGCTGGGATGCTGTCATGTCCTGGGCTTCCTGGGGAAGCTGGTTGCTCCATTGCAGTCCAGGCTGTATGGAACTATGGCACCTCTTAGACCTGGCAAGATGTTGGCAGAGCAGAGGACAAGGTTAAGTTTAGGAAAAAAAAATTTTCTTAGGTCCTGATACTTGAGGGGAAGATTGTAAGATGAGGGAGGGGCTCCTGAGGGGTCTCAACATGAGGGAAGGGAAAGATTGAATAATATCTGAAGTGAATCTGACCTGTTTGTTTGGATCCAATTCGGTGCCCTTACAAGAATCCTTGCAAGAATCCTTAGATTTTAGACACATTAGCAACATATTTATGTTAGAAGCAACTTGGCTGAAAGCATTGACAGTAGCACTGGCCAGAGATATCTGTGGATGAACCTTGAGTGACAGAGTACGGAAGTGAAAGGTATGATGGGACAGGAGATGGCAAGAAGTGAGCAGAGTTAAGGCACACAAAGCCATAGGCTTGCAGCAGGAAGGAGACGTTGAGAGGCCTGCTCAGACCGGGGCTGTGTGGTTTCAGCCCAATGGGTTGGTTCATGGGAAAGTGTCACAGCAGCCTAAACACACTGTTCTTGGCTTCCAGGCCCCAGAAACTTGGTGGGGTACCTCATTGTTTACCATCCACAGATGCCATTCATGGTCATTTAACACCTGACTCTGCCCCTTCCCACCTCTGCTGCTCTCTTCCTTCTGTTTCTTTACTCAGGATCCTCTGGGAGTTCGTTTCTTTCTGTACACTCCTCTTCCTTCCACACACCTTTGGCTTCCTCTGTGGGGACCTACCATGACTCCTGCCACACATGACCAAGGAGTGGGTTCCTTGCTTAGGACCTGAGCACTCAACTACTTACTCTGGAACTGTTCCTACTTCCCTCCCAACACACACACACACACACACACACACACAGAGAAAGAGAGAGAAAGAGAAAGAGAGAGAGAGAGAGAGCAGGCTGAGTATATTGTTGAAGAGAGAAGAAAAATTACTGGCAGGACTGGAGGCTGAGATTTCCAGGTTGAGGTCCCTTCTGTCTCAGGACCTGTCTAGTCAGCTGTCAGAAAGCCCTGTGGAGCTCCATGCTCTTCCTCTCTATACCACTCTCCCAGTCCTCACTGCTCCTGGGTGCTGTCTTCCAGGGGTTTCCACAACAACAACATCAAGGCTATCCCAGAGAAGGCCTTCATGGGCAACCCCCTCCTGCAGACAATGTGAGTACTGCACTTGCTAGGGCTGCTGTGCGTTTTAAAGGATGGAGGTCATGGGGGCGGGTAGACGGGAAGCTGCTGGAAAGAGCCAGGGAGGCAGGAATGCAGGAGAGCTATTGTCCTCTTTGAGTCTCCACCCAGAAGAGTAGGGAACTGAAAAGAAGTGAACATCTGAACCGGGGCTCGGGTCTTTTTCTTCCAGACATTTTTATGACAACCCAATCCAGTTTGTGGGAAGGTCGGCATTCCAGTACCTGTCTAAACTGCACACGCTGTAAGTGAGCACCAGAGGCTGCTGCTTGGTGCTGCCCTCAGGACTTCTGCCCTGTTCCCTCCTGCTTGCCCTCTCCTGCCCTCTGCTGTGGACCTCTCCGAAGCCAGGCACCCCTCAGCTGGAAGGGGGCTCTACACATGACATTTGCTCAGGCCTATCTCCAGATGCCCTGGAGCTTAATGGTCTCCCTCCCCCTTTGCTGCTTCTCCCCATATCCCGCATGGATGAAGAGAGCCCTTCTTCACACCTAGGGACACTTCTTTGACCTCTTTGGTTTTCGCTGGCTTGTGGTAGTTGCTCCCTACATACCCCCAGGGAAAACAGTGGACAGTTCTGGATTCTGTGTGTCCTTCAGGCTGCCGCTCCAGCGGCCTGTGGCACAGCTTCTGACGCCATCTTTGCCACGCTGAGCCTGAAGGCAATCCTTTGATTCCTTTCCCCACTCTTCTATTTCCAAGCCCAAGGTCCCACCCACTTCTTTAAAACAAAACAAAACAAAAGGCTTCCATGGACCGTTCGCAGCTCACTGTGGCCTCTCTGCACAGATAACGTCCTCCAGGCATGAGCCTCATTCTCATGCTTCCAATTGTATTTCCTCTTCATCCAAACCAGTGAGATTGGCACTTCAGTCCATTTCACAGATGAAACGTGAGGTGCTCAGGTACCGAACAGGCATGAGCCCAGGCTCTTAACTTCCATTACTGGGCTCATTGTTGGATGCCACTCTGCCTCCTCAGGATCTCTCACACACTGTTTGTTTGTGACAGGGTCTCATGTGGCCAAGGCTAGCCTTCAACTCCTGATTGTCTAGCCTCCACTCTCCAAGGGCTAGGATTAAAGGCATGTGACATCACTCTCAACCCTAGCCTTTTCAAGTAAACACTTCTGCCAGGAGTGGTGGTACATACTTGCAATCTTAGTGCTCCAGAGGTGAAGGCAGGAGGATCAGGGGTTCAAGGCTAACTTCTGCTACATAATGAGTTTGAAACCAATCTAAGCTACAGGAGACCTCATCTCAAAAAACAAAACAATAACAACACGGAACAACATTTTCCATGTCCCTTGTCTGAGTTTTGTTTTGTCTTTTTACAAGCCAAAGCCTCAATGCTGGAGTCCATGGGCTCGATCTTAGCAATTCTTGGCTTGACAGGGCTGTATCAATTTAAGAAAGTGATTGAGAGAGCTGGGCATGGTGATACATGCCTTTAATCTCCGCACTCAGGAGGCAGAGCTATGAGTTAGAGGCCAGCTTGGTCTATGTAGTGTGTTCCAGGACAGGCAATCCAAACTATATAAAAGAGAGATTCTGTCTCAAAAAGCAAACAAACAAATTATTGGCCCCTGCTAAACATGGCTTAACTTCCAGTGGTGCCAGAACAGCTAATTTGAAGGAGGCTTGGGGAAGATGTCATTCACCCAAAAAGGTAGAGCAGAAGGCCAAGGCTGAGAGCATAGATGTTGACTCACCAGCCCTCCAGAGTCTGTTTTCTCTGTTTGCAGATCCTTGAATGGTGCCACTGACATCCAGGAGTTCCCAGACCTCAAAGGCACCACTAGCCTGGAGATCCTGTGAGTGGATTCCCTCTCCCTCCACCGGGGACTCTTCCACCTCCCTTCATCCGGAAGGCTGTCCAGGCCACACGCTCCTCCTGCTACCCCTCCTCTAGTCTGCCTCTACTACTGGCTCAGCCCCAGGGCCTTGGCCATCTCCAGATGTGGTGTTGCCTCCAGGCAAGGCAGGGGCAGCAGGATGTGGGGAGGAGGCTGGCATTCCTCTGTTGTGCTTAGATTTGTCAGGTCTGGCTTCAGAGCTCCTAATCCTGAGCCATGGTGCATGAGGACACAGGATGGGAGCAGGGTTGTGAAACCCATTTCCTCTGACTTCGAGAGGCTTGGTTCCAACAAAGCCTTTCTTGGTGTGTCCATTAGCGCTATACTCTGGATCCTGGGATAAGTATACAATAGGCCCTCAAAATACTCAGCATCCAGGGATAAGAACATAGTAGGCCCTCAAAGCATATTAAACGAATGAAAACGGAGCAAGCAGGCACCCCATGTGAATGTTAGGAAGTCAGCTCCCTGCCCACACCACACAACTCATTCATGGCTCTGCTGGGACTGCCAGTCTTCTCTGTGCTCCCATTGTCTTCTTCTTAGCTCAGTGGCATGTGGAAATTTTTCCATGAAATTAATAATAGTTTCCCAAGGATGACCTTGGCCTTGGAGTCTTTCTAGGGCTACCCTGTGCCTAATCCAAGCCCATTCTCCAGCCTGCCCTCACAACCCTCTGCACCCCAGCCTTGGGTCCTTCTTTTTTCCATCTTGTTCCCCTCCCCCAGCCACAGAGAGAAAAGCCTGTACTGTGTTCCCATGGTCCCACTGGAGCTGTTTCCTAGCTACTCATTGCCATGGCTGTCCCTCCCCTCTAAGGTCCTGAGAGCGGGGAAGATTTAGTCTCTAAGTCCCAGTGTTGGTGGGACCATTATGAGAGGTGGGGTGTGCATGGGGTGAAGGAATATGAGTGGATTTGGATCTCTATGGATCATTGGACAAGCAGAGCCTACAGACCGGGACCCTGTTTCTTTCTACTTCCCACCCAGCTTCCAAAGGCTCAGGAGCTTATCACTCAGATGAGGGAACTACTTTCTGTTCCTGTAGGCCCCACCCCCTGCCCTGTTTATGCCACCACTTCTCTTTTGTCAGCGCTGTCCTCCCACGGACAGTATCAGGTCCAGTGCTAGAGACGGGTGGCTGGGAATGGCAGGGCTCTGGGCCCCCTGCCAGCTCTGTCTCTATTCTCCTTGCAGGACCCTGACCCGAGCAGGCATCCGGCTGCTCCCACCAGGAATGTGCCAACAGCTGCCCAAGCTCCGAATCCTGTGAGTGGTTCATGAGCATTCTACAGTCCTGGCATTGTACCCCTGGCCCCGTTGTCCCCGAGAAAGCCTCTCCTGCTTCTGTCGTACTTGGTCACATCTCTTTCTAGAGAGTGGTCAACATAGAGTCCTGCTGAGGGTCTGTTTAGGAGGGACTGTCCTCTCTTGTTCAAGATAAAGGACTTTGGTCTCCAGATCCGGGTGGTTTGAGACCAAGTCTGCTTCTCACTAGCTATGTTTGTCTCTGAATTTCAATCTCTCCTTTCAAATGACAGTCAGTTTGGGAGACTTGAAAACAACCTCTGTTAATGCACATATCATATAGTAGAGCTTCAAAATGGCATCACTTTGGCAAGAGAATTTATTGCTCTGGTGTCCTGAAGATACTTAAGTTGCTCCAGTTTTTCCCCCTGTGTATTCTAACTTCAGACTTAGACTGATCCCTATAGGCCTTCGAAGCAGCTCAGGAAGGGTACATTGATATCTGGGGATGTGGGCTCTAGACCCATTGTCTATTAACTGGCAGTGTGTCTTTGGCAGGTTCTATGCTGAGGTCCTAGGCCTCATATTCCCTGCCTAAAGGAAGGGTGGGGCCAGATGTTCCTGAGAGCTTGCAGCACTTCTCTTCCCTGCCAGCTCCACAAATGATGATCAGAAGCACTTCCATGGGTGACATTGGCCATCTTGCTCAGGAATGCCCATATTTCCTACTGACTGTTTCAGCACTCCATGCCCCAATTTTGGCCTCTCTCCTCATCTCCATGCCACTCATTTTGTGCTCCATTTTCCCCAGGATGCTCCAAGGGCTCTACAGGATTACCTGTTGCTAAGGCAGCCCTGCTGAAAAACAAAAAGCCAAGTTGGTTCTATCTAGGCTCAGTAAGGGAGCAGGGCTTAGCAGGGAGGAGGGTAGCAAAATCTAATGGTGGAGATTGGCCATATTATGTTCCTTCAGGGTCCTTGTGGCCATCAACTGCTTGACAGAAAAGCACAGCCCTGACCACAGAAGATTTTTCCTGCCCCTGCCCCTGCCCCGCACCTTCCCACAGCCACCACTTCACCCTGACCTGGGTTCTGTCTCTTCTGCAGGGAGCTGTCTCATAATCAGATTGAAGAGCTGCCCAGCCTGCACAGGTGTCAGAAGTTGGAGGAAATGTAAGTCTGGGGATTGCGAGGGGGAAAGACATGCAAGGGAGGCTCTAGGTGGGTCTGTGGGGAGGGGCCAGGGATCAAAACATACTCTAACCCCTCTTTCTTTTCAGTTTGTTGGACCCAGATGTAGGGCTGGGAACTCAATAAGGCCTGGGCACATCCTATAGGACTCACAGCAGATGACATTGCTAGGAACGGGTACCCAAAGGAGTCTCAGGATAGCTCTTGAGTCAACAATAGCACTAAAATGCAGTTGTGATGGCAGGGCAGGGTCACCAAGGCTCTCTGTGTGAGACACAAGAAGTCTTCAGAGGAACTAGAAGAACCCTGGGTTTTGGAGCATGTGCTCTCCTGTTCCACAGCCCATGAACCTGCACACATATATGTGTGCTCATGAACGCATAGATAACACATGGTTATACATGGTCCTCCAGATTCACAAGGAAAAGCTCACTTTAAAATTTCCCTGAGCCCCATTTGCCTACCTCCCATTCCCGTAAACTACCATGGTCTCTTGAGTTCCTCATAGCTGCCCCTGGTTCTAGGCAGGGCAGATGTTTTATGGGACCATGTCAGGGAAGATATATCTGGGTTTGTCCTGTTTGTCTGGATGACAATGTCTTCAACATTGCTGGAATCCAGGATCAATCTCCTATTCAGATCATCAGTCTACTGAACTCTGCTCTTATCTCACTGCAGTCACTCGGTTATCCAGGGGCTGGGCATGCTCTGTGACTAGCTAGGGTCTGGAAGACCCTAGTGGGGAAAGTGGGGGCTACTTCATCTGGGCTGGGAGCCAGGCCCGGTGGGAACCCTGGAAGCTGACTCCCTTTAGGGCCACGGGGATGGTTTTGTGGCTTTGTCTCCTGACCCATTTACCCAAGGCAACCGGATCCCCTTGTGCGCCCTCTAATTCTGGTGACTTCCGCAGGCTGGGTCTTTTTTCCTGTGCCAGAAGAAGTGGGGGGCTCTCCTTTCTTCCTTCCAGTGCTTGAGGGTCATGGAGCAGAGCCAGAGTCTGGGCCTGCAGGCTCATCTAGTCTCTCTTGCTGCCCTAGTGGCCTCCAACACAACCGGATCTGGAAAATTGGTGCTGACACCTTCAGCCAGCTGAGCTCCTTACAAGCTCTGTGAGTACCTGCGGCACCTAGGGGTGTGTTCTGGAGGACCCCATGTCCCCTCCAAACTCATTCTCATAGCACATGTCCAGTTTGAGCACTCATGGCTTGTATGTGTATTTCTTCTCCACAGCCCCTTCACATAAGCATGTACACACATATGTGCATACCCCCGTTCGCGCGCGCGCGCACACACACACACACACACACACACACACACACACGCACACACACACACACACACACGCACACACACACACACACACACGCACACACACACACACACACACGCACACACACACACACACACACGCACACACACACACACACACACACACACACACACGTGTGCACGTGTGTGCATGTGCACGTGCGAGGCACTTTCCTATCCAGACAGTCGCCAGACCCCTTCTCCAGCTATTACACAGGAATTTCTGAGGCTCTAGAGCCAAAATATGATGGCCCCATCCAGTTGCTACAACCAGGTTGGGAACTAGGCAGTAGTAAGAACTTTCCTCAGAAGGCTAAGGTCACTGCCACTTTGGAAGGTCGGATGGAAAGTATGTGAGAGCAAGCCCAAGATAGGCCCAGGAAGGACCAATGCATTCTCCATATGTTTCTGCCCTCTCTTACCTCATGCTTTCTGCTCACAGAGACCTGAGCTGGAATGCCATCCGGGCCATCCACCCTGAGGCCTTCTCAACCCTGCACTCCTTGGTTAAGCTGTAAGTACACCTTGAACTTTCTTCCAGGATGCTGGGAAGCAGTCAGGACTGTGGGCTGGTTGGTGGTACAGGGGGGCCACCACTGAGCAGGGACTTGTGTAAATGTTTCATCACATATCACAGGGAGGCCTCGGCAGCCTAATCAATCATTCTAACGGTGTGTTTGACACGTTGTGAGGCCTGGTAAACAAACAGAGAGCCTGCTGCCTGCAAACCCTGGACTATCATCTGCTGACATCCTACAATGTTTTGGCAGCCTCGGTCCTCATCATGTTCCACTTTGTCATCTCCACCCTGGCCTCTATATCCTCCACATGCACCAATAGAGAGAACATATGTGCCTAAACTTTTCAGTTCAAGAGGATGGTGGATGACAGAGAACTCAGGGTCTCAGCGAGCCATGGAATTTTTAAGTTACATAGGATTCAAGCAGAAAGTATGATGGCCTGGTGCACGGTCATTGTGTCAGGCTGAAAGGGGCCTCTGACCTGGTTGCCACACACTGTGGAGCAGTTTTTAAGTATACAAGGGTTCTGCCTGAGGAGGAGCTGACATCCTACCTGCTTGCTTGCCTGCCAAAGGCATTCCCATCCACACGGGGTCCCTTTCTGACTAGCACAGACTCCTCGAGACTAGCTCCAGCTCTGGCCTTGGATATTACTCTGCCACTGACACTTCACTGTTAACATCTCCAGCTTCTAGGAGGAGTAGCCTGCTTAAGGACTTGTCCAAGGCTCCCATGTGGCACGCAGTCCCTCCTCCCTAGTCTGTGGCTCTCTGTGGGCTCTGGGCCTTGGCCTTGTAAAAGTCTCACTTCCATCTTCCCTCTACTATACTCCTGCCAGATAGGTAGAACAGATATTTTTATTCTTTGAATGATGAGGCCATTGGAACTTGGGCAGATTCGTGACTCCCTTTGATTACACAGTGAGCTGGCAAAAGTGCCAGGTTTCCTGCCTGCCAGTCCAGGGCTGTTTCCACGACGCACAGTCTGTGGTCCTAGTGTTTGCATTGGATTCCTGGCTTAGTCTAATGATGTCTCCAGGGGAAGTTGCGTATGTCCTCACCTCTGGCTACCGGGCAGGTTCCGAAAGGCAGAATGGATGATCCAATGCCTGCTTAGGGCTGGATGACTAGCTCTGTCCCACTCTGTCTGACTCTGACCTATTCCATCATCAGAGAAGTGAAGGGATACAGTCAAAAAGCAGAATGATCTGCCAAAAGGGTGAGCAAGAGTTCCTGGATGGGACGTAGACACAGCAGTTACAGTTGTGGGGCTCTGTTACCTATAGATTGGGACGATTTGACATTAAGTTAGAAGCACCCCTGATACATAACTATCACCCAAAGTTTGTTGAATGAATGGATGGCCGAGTTAATAGAGGGTGTCTTTAGAACCTTCTTCAGCACCCTTGCCCCAGGATACACACTGTCTCCCCTGTACTTATCTTCTGTTCTTTGCTCCTTTCCTCTTGCTTTCATCCCAGGCACACTGGCCACACCCTCAACAAAGCCCTGTCCCCTCAGCAGTCCCACTGACTGCCAATAACCCTGATCATCCACTGTCCTAGGGATCTGACTGACAACCAGCTGACTACACTGCCCCTGGCCGGCCTGGGGGGCCTGATGCATCTGAAGCTCAAAGGGAACTTGGCCCTGTCTCAGGCCTTCTCCAAGGACAGTTTCCCAAAACTGAGGTGAGAGCTTGGCTTGCCTATGCCTGAGGAGGTGTGTCCCAGACACCTTCAAGACAGAGAAACTGCAAAAGCCACAAATCTGACACCGAGAATAACCTGGTAGTTTAGAGTTTGCCCTCATGTCAGCTACCTAGGGACACGACTCTGCCCTCCTCATCTCCTCTCCCTATGCCAACCACTGATTTAAGGGCACAGGGACCTGTGGGGAAAGGAGTGAGCTGATGCAGAGGCCCCTGGGACCTCCTTATTCCTTGCCTGGTTCTGCACAGCCAGGCTGTGCCATCCTTACTCAGGCACCATCTGAGCACAGAATCAGGGCAGAGCCCAGGGCACTGATGAATGGAAAACAAGCTGCACAGCCAGTCCCTGGTGCTAATGACATCCAGGCTTCCTTCGTGTAGTGGCAGCAGCCGTGCAGCCTGTGTGGCCCAAGCTTTGTCCGCTGCAAGCTAACGAGATGCCCAAGGCATCTGTCCTCACCCTCAGAGGGCACAAAACCCAGTTCTGTTATGCCAGGAGCTGGGAAGGGGACAGGGTGTTGGTTTCACAGAAGACAAGGGTAAAGAATCACTGGGGAAATCTTTGCTTAAAAAAAAAGTAAGAGAGATTGGAGAGATGCCTCAGTGGTTAAGTGCAGTTATGAGGATGGGAGTTCAAATCTTGGCACATTTAAAATAAGCCGAGATCCCATACATGCTTGCAATCCCAGCTCTGAGGAGGGCAGAGACAGGGAGAAACCCTGTCTTAAGGAACTAGGCAGAGAGTGATAGAGAAGGACACCGGATGCCCTCTTCTGGTCTCTGCAGGGCGTATATAGGAGCATATACCTACACACTGAAACATAACGAAAGGAAGGTAGATGTTCCAACATAGTTGGAAAGCAGGTGGGCAGTTCAAGGTCATCCTTGGCTACAGGTGGAGTTTGAGGCCAGCCTAGGCCACATGAGACCCTGTCTTAAAAAAAAAGAAAGAAAGAAAGAAAACCAAAGGATGGAAGAAGGGAAGGATAGGAAGGGAGGGGGAAAGGAAGGAAAAACAGGAAATAGGGAAAGGGAAAAAGAAAAACAAAAAGAACCCATGCCCCTCCTTCCCCATCACTTGGGATCAAACCCAAGAGCCTTGTTCATGCCAGGCAAGTGTTCCATTGCTGGGTCAAATCCCAGCCCCTGCCTCACTATTGCCTTCTTAAATATTAAAGAGTTACTGCCACGGAGGAGCAAGTACCCCAAGTACTGTGTGACCCCCCAACTCAGATTGCCCCCAACTCTGAGCCTGCTGTGGGGATTTCTAAATTAATAGGCAGAAGGCTTCTCTCTCCCTCTCAGTTAAGATAAATGATGTGAAAACTACAATCTCTCCAGAGCCCTTTGGGGTCAGGAATCAGGCTTCAAGATTCATCTAAAGAAAGGTCCAGAGCAGTGAGCTGTTCTCACCTTGTGGGTCTCTATCCCGAAGGGTCAAACCACCCGTTCACAGGGGTCACCTAAAACCATTGGAAATGTAGATATCTACATCATGATTATAACAATAGCAAAATCACAGTTATAAAGTAGCAACAAAAATAATGTTATGGTTGGGGGTCATCACAACATGAGGAACTGTATTAAAGTGTCACAGCATTAGGAAGGCTGAGGACCACTGGCATAGAAGGAGCAGGGTACTTTGGGGTTGGAGAGCAGGTACTGAGAGTATCCTCACTAAGGTTTAGATCCTGAGTACACCAAGGCAACCTCTTCCCCACCCTAGGATCCTGGAGGTACCCTATGCCTACCAGTGCTGTGCCTATGGCATCTGTGCCAGCTTCTTCAAGACCTCTGGGCAGTGGCAGGCTGAGGACTTTCACCTGGAGGAAGAAGAAGCACCAAAGAGGCCCTTGGGTCTCCTTGCTGGACAAGCTGAGAACCACTGTGAGTAGTTGGGGACTCTGGGATGAGTGTCCCAGGGCTCTGGAGAGGAATCTTGAAGAGAGGTTCTTAGAGAAGTATTAGTGGGGATACATGCAACCTGGAAGGAACTGTCCCACTGTTTGCACACTCAAGAACACTGGTTGAAAAAAAAAAGACCATAAGGAAGGAAGCTGGGTTGTCAACACCTTCCTGACCTTCGAAGTCCCCTCACATGTACCACCTCTCTTAATCCCCCTGCCTCATGGGTCACTCGATTCATCTTAGTGGCTGCCTCCTTGCAGCACATGGGCCTTCACCCTTTGGGTGTTCTTTGAGAAGGTGATTGATTAGTGCATCAAATGAGTCAAACAGAATAGGATTAAATTAATTGAATCAAACCTGTTTCCAGTGGGGAAACTTATACTATGTCCTGGAACTAAATGGAACATTTCAGGGATTATTGCTCCCAAGGCTGGATGCCCTTTGCCTCTATTCTTCCTATGAGCTCAAATGTGAAATTTGAGTGGCCACTGAGCACATAGCCCTGCTGAGTGCACAGGTTGTGTTGGGCCAGTTATGTCTATTTCTGGAAGAGCTGGGGCTGGGGTGAAGGGAAAGTTGGGGGTAGGCAGCCAGGGGGTTTTGAGGGCTTGTCTATAAAGGACATCTTAGGAAAGGGGAAAGAAGAGTGCTGTCCTCTCCCCAGGCCCTGTGTTCCCAACCTCAAGCAGAGTTAGGATAAAGAAAGGAGTACTGCCTGCCGGATTTCATTTTCCATCTTGAACTTCCCCAATATCTCAGAGAAATTGAACAGAAAAAAAGCATTAAACCTGAAGCTGAGTGTGGTACTGCTGCACATCTGGAATCCAGGACTCCAGAGGTGCATACAGGAAGAGCAGATGTCATCTACAGAGTCAGTTCAAGTCAATCTGGGCTACATGATACTCATTTACAGTACCTCATGCTGGTGTCATGGTGTAGACATAACTTAGTCCAAACCCAGCTACATCATGTACCATTTGGGTTGCATTCAACATGCTTTAACCTGAGTTTTGTAGTTTTTTTGTTTTTTGGTTTGTTTGTTTTTTGTTTTTTGTTTTTTCACTCCTCTTGACCCCACCATCCAACTCCCAAATAAATACACAGAGACTTATTCTCACTTATGAGTGCCTGGCCTTAGTTTGTCTTGTTTTCAATCAGCTTTTCTAACTTAAATTATCCTGTTTCTCGTCAACGATGTTTTGTCTCTGGGCTTTTTACCTTTCTTTAGTCTAAATATCTTTCTTTCCTTCTTACTCTGTGGGCTGGCTGTGTGGCTGAGTAGCTGGCCCCTGGCATCCTCCTCTCTTCTCACTCCTCCCTCCTTTTCTCGAGCCTTGATTTCTCCTCTTCTCTTTCTCCCTGCCAGCCCCAACTATTTCTCTCCCTTGTCTAGCTACTGGCTGTTCGGTTTTTTGTTAGACTAATCAGGTGTTTTAGACAGGCAAAGTAACACAGCTTTACATAGTTAAATAAATGCAACTAAAAGAATGCAGCACAGGTGGGTGTTGGTGGCTCACACCTTTAATCCCAGCACTCGGGAGGAAGAGGCAGGTGGATCTCTGTGAGTTCGATTCCAGCCTGGTCTACATAAAAAAACCGTTCTTAAAAAAAAAAAAAAAAAAAAAAAAAAAAAAAAAAGAATGCAACACATTTTTGCATCATTAAACAGATATTCCACAGCATAAACAAATGTGCATATCTTAAACTAATATTCTACAACAGAGTTTAATATCTATACCTTTCAGAAAAAAAAAAAAGAGGGAGGACTGGAGGGTTCCATACAAGACAAAGTGTGTCAATACTGCTTTGGGAGTCAGGGACACATATGTGGGGATAGTGTCATTGTATAATCTAGAACACAGCTTATGGAAGTCAAATACTGTACCATCTGAGAACTTCCCTCCCAGGGGATAGAAACAGGACAGAAGCATCCCCCAAAGAGGATACAAGCTCCCAGGAGGAGGAGGAGGAACACTGTAACAGGCAGTGCAACTAGCAGGACCAGCAGACGGCTGTCCCCCAGGGACAGTCCCGGATGTCTGCTGCATACTCCTTGGGGGAGTCAAAGGGGGCTGGAAAGAGGAATGGAAATTTTCCTTCCACAAGGTGAAACTTTCCGCTGGGCTTAGGTCTTGGAGAACCACAGGCCTGTTGAGTTAGTGGGCTGCCTGCCGCTTGTAACAGGAGCTAGGGCAGGGCCCCCCACTTCCTGTGAAAGCAACGGAGCAGAAAGAAAGCCAGGAGCTGCTGTTCCAGCCAGATTTGATTTCCTCTTCATTTGAAGAATGGTTACTTAACACCTTGGCCGTGACTTTCCCAGCCTCAGACAGAGTCTGTAGGTTTCGCTCCTTGTATTTCATTCATGCATTTTGATTTCAAAGGAAGACCTTTCTGGAGTGAATGGGCAGGTGGGGAAAGAAAGGTAGACAGAAGGAAATGGCCAGGACTATGTGGGCACACCTTTGCCTTCCATCTGCCCTAAAGCTGTCCCAGTTAAAGGGAAACTCTTAACAGATGTTTACATGTTAAAGGATCTACACAGGAACCAGACCGCGTGAGCCAAAGATGGAGACAAGTACAGCAGGGTCGTCTACTTACTCCTCTGTGATGGAGGAAGCTGATAAGACAGTTGAAACCTCAGATATCAGCCTCAGTCCAGAAACCACTCTGGGGTGTGTGTGTGTGTGTGTGTGCATGTATGTATGTATGTATGTGTGTGTAGATGCCTGAGGTTCTGAGGGCCAGAGGCTGAGTGTGTTTGTATGTGTGTGCATGTATGTGTGTGTGTGTAGATGCCTGAGGCTCTGAGGGCCAGAGGCTGATGCTGCATGTCTTCCTCTATTACTTTCCACCTTATTTTCTAAGTCAAGGTCCCCTACTGAGCCCAGAGCTCATGCCAGAGAGATACAGGGATCCTCCTGTCCCCCTCAACCTGTCCTCTCATCCCTGTCCCACCTGTGCCAGGGCTGCAGATGCATGCCACCATGCCTGGCTTTTATGTGACTACCGAGAGTCTGAACTCAAGTCTTTATGCTTGCTGTTGAGAAAGAGGTTTTGTATAGCCCAGACTTGTCTCAAATTTGCTTTGTAGATGAGAATGACCTTGGACCGTCAATCCTCCTGCCTCCACCTACCAAATTCTGGGATCACAGGCATGCCCCACCATGTCCAGCACCAACATCCTTCTTAATGTGTAGTTTTCATAATAGGACATGGAATTGCAATGACAGGCTGGCTGGAGGAAGAACTATGTAATCACTAGCTTTCCTTATTAGAAAGGTCTAGCCACCAGCCACACTCTAAGCAGCACTCATAGACTAACGATGACTAGGCACAAGAAAATGCAAAATATCGGACAGTCAAATGTTCATTGCAGAGAACTAGAAATACACAAAATCCACAAGCGGAGAAACCAACACCCAAGAGTAGAAATAGATATGCAGGACTATTGGATGACCAGTGTTGAGCAGTTAGGAGGGGGACACATCAGCTTTAATGACAGACACTAAGACCCAGGACTCCAGCCATTTTCTGTTTTCCCTTCTCAGACGACCTAGACCTGGATGAGCTCCAGCTGGAGATGGAGGACTCAAAGCCACAACCCAGTGTCCAGTGCAGCCCTGTTCCAGGTGAGATGTGTGGCTGGGGAGCTGGGGAGCTGGGGAGCTGGGGAGGGGACAGCCACCTGAATGAGAAGCCAGTTTAGTCTACTCTTTTCCCAGTGCTCATCCTGCTGCCGGGGTGGGGGTGGGGATGGGGGGGGCTCTTATAATCTTCAAAGGGAGGAGCGGAGTTCTTTCCCTTGGATCCCTTGGGAGTCTACACAGGAGAAGGGGGTGGTGCTCAAAGTGGACGAGAGGAATGAGAAAGAATCATGGCT